AAAATTTTTCACATTTAAATTATTTAAAGTAATTTACTGATCAATTTTCAAAAAAATAATTGTCAGCAACAATAGGTATGGCATTTTGTTGAAGATATACTGATAATTCAGAAAGATTTGTGAGCATTGAAGAAGCTTTAATATAATCTTCTAAAGAATGTAAATTTCCCTCCTGCAACCCTACAATACAAACATCATTCATTGATATTTCTTCATGTTTCCCTCTAATAAGATCACAATACACATGTACAGTAGGAAGCTTCTCATTGTTAAAAGAATTAAAGGTATTTAAATCATTAGAGATCCATTCCCTTTTTCTGACACTGTAGCTAATATCAAAAATTTCTTTATATTTAGTATTAAGATAATCTTTAATTTTATTTCCTTCAATATTGTTAGGATTATGTACATGAATTCCATTATTTATTGCTAATACTGGAGGACATTCAACTTTTTTAGATACACAGCTAGCAAAATGTTTTACTGTTGATAATGATGTAGCATCAGGTCTTCTTTTTTCATGTATATCATGAAAATCATCAATATTAACAACATGAAGACAATCTATCTAAAAACATAAATGAAAGATCAATTATTTTATAATTTGATTAATATATTATATTAATCAAGTTATACATGTTGTAGAAATAGACAGGTTAGTCACTTGACTCAACCAGGTGACAATTAAAAATTGAGATTAATTTTGACAACATGCATATAATATATAATAAAATATAGTACTTACATTTATCTTGAAATATTCATTTATATAATCAAAATGATCTTTTGCTATTTGCTTTTTAAATATGGCAATTGTTTTGTAATTGGCACATATACCTGCATTCGCCAAGGTGTTTATTGCAATAGAGCTAGTGCCAGATGATGCAAGGTATAAACCTATATCAGTTTAATGGAGTTGGCAAATTTATTTCTAAAGCCATCCAACAAATAGCAGAAAGCAATGACAGATTTTTTTGCAGGTTCTTTATTATAATCAGAATGTTTTTTAGGAATCAATGCATTTGTCATTTCTTCAAAAAATCTTGAAGTAAAGGATCCTTTTCTGTTAGCATGTTTTGAAATTTTTGGGGCTCTAATTCAACCTTTTCATTTTATTGCCTTTGTCGAGCAAATAAAATTTTGGTCATTCACTCAACTTGCATGGGAAATGATCTATCAACTTATAGAAATTCAAAAAAAACCATTGTTATTGGTATATCAATCAATTTTTCTAAGGAGACAGCCAATTTATTAAAAATATGACAAGAATGACATTGAGCTTCTTGCCCACCAACTAAAATAAATAACTACCTTCAATTTCTTGTTCTATTGTTTCTTCTTCAGTGGACAATTTTTTATTTAGTTGTTCAATTTCAATTTGTTTTTTTTGCATTTGATGAATTTTATTTAACAACAAAGCAAAATCATTAGTGGACATTGTTATTGAATCATTATTAATATTTACATTAATATCATTAAATGAAACATCAACTTGCATCATATCTTGATCATTGAATCATTTAATAAATCTTCAATAGTAAAACTATAGATTTGTTCTTGGAAATTTTCATTCATATTTTGATTTTCAAAAGAATCAAGTTTTTTTCCTTTTTTTAGTTCACATGTAAATGATTGAACCTGCAAAGTTGAGATTCATTGACTTTTAAATAATTGAAATATGAAAATGTTCCACATCAACTGATTTAGTATATGAAACTGTAGTAAATTTTCTATAAGGTTTTGGATTTTTACAATTAAGAATGGAACAAAGACCTTATTAGATTGGGTCATTTTTATTTAAAAACAAATAAGTAATTACAGTGAACCCTCTATAAGTGCACCCCCTCGGAAACATAGTGCTATTTCTTGTGAGCATGCATTTATGGAGGGTGTGTATTTATAGAGGGTGATTTTATAAGCTCTCTATAAGCTTGGGGATGAGATGTGCCGTGCATTTATGGAGGGTATACATAGTGTGTGCATTTAGGGAAGATTCACTGTATTTTGTGAAATTTTTTTATTGACTATGTCGATCGTGTAACGTGATGATTTCGAATGTCGATCAAAATCGAAAGTCAAACGATATGTCACAGGAAGTGTAATTACATATAAAATAGAAAATCAGACTTGTGTAACAATCCAGTTTTTTAAAATATCTCATTATCTTTATAACAAATTCAAACATTATTATTAATCAAAAATAAAGCTATGTCATTATAGATTTCTAAAGAGTTTTCTCCCATATTGATAGAGGCTCTCTATGCCAAGCTGTGTTTATTCAAAAACAGCATTACTTTTTATTTCAAAGCTAAGATTTTTTACCAATATTACCTTTATAAACTTGGCAAGTGGTTGAAAAGATGTAAAATATTGTAAGTTTTCATATAGGTATAGCTTTATGTGGATTGTTGTTTATTAAAGTTTAGTGAAAATGGCAAAAACTCCAAAAAACATATTAAATTTTGATAAATTTATAAATTGTGGGCAGGAGATTATCAGGAGTCAACCAAAAATAGATAATTAATTTCCAAATGCGGTAATTTGGTTGATAAACTTTAGCACCAAGATTTTTTTCTATTTTATTAATAACCTCTCCTGATTTTTTTCTAAAAGAAGGAATAAGTCTTGAAAAATCTGTGTCTCAAATTTGGTGGAGATTGGGTGTGCAAAAAAGGGTTAAAATTAAGGTTTGTGGCTAATTTTATTAATAGAATTTTGGCATTGATCACCAAAAAATTTCAGGAAATACACTTCCCAATCATTTAATGTGACACATCATTTGACTACTATGCTCTCATGAGCATAGTGGAATTTTGTTTTTGGTTGACATTCGAAATTATCACAACACAATCTACACAATCTTTATTATATGGAAAATAATCAAAAATAATTAATTGTAAAATAATTTAACTTATAATTATATAATAACCTATACAATTTATTTTTTTAAAGATGCCTCACAATTCTAATCAAGGTCCTTGCTTAGTTACTGGTTGTGAAAATTCAGGCCCTTACAGAAACTTTAATAAAACTGTTTATACAAGATCAATTAATTCTGGAACTTTTTCTAATTTTGATTATTTGATAGTTAATGAATCACAGTTATGTTCTCCTCATTATTTGCAAGTATGTGAACCTATTAAGGGAAAAAATGCATTACTTTTGAAAACAAAAATATCAATGAACAAAATAATATTTTTACCATTAAGAATTTATTAGACAATTTAAATAATCAAAATACTATATTGATTGATGCTTCATTGAATGATATTTATGTTAATATTAAATATTTAGTAACATTATTTAGAATCTGGACTTTTGCTCTTAGATAAAAAAGAAAAAATTATAATAAGATACTGGCATTTATTTCAGATTACATATATTAGAAAGAAAGCCAACATTCATTTGCAAATGCATTGGAGAATCATCTTGTTAATTTCAATGAATATTATGTTGAAAATTTTCACAGCAGGTTATGTGATAATATTAATGTAAATCAAAATGCAGAACCAATTATTAATCAGGCATTTGTATATATGTACATATGTATATAATACAAACATTAAGAAAATGAACTTAATAATTTTTTAATGAACTCCTTTAGATCCCCATAAATCAGTTTTTGTTGACACTTTTAAAAAACCATATATTTACCCATATAAGCCTATTCAGCTGGAATTTCTTGTTAAAAAAACCAGTATATTTTTGTTATCTTATTTCCAAGAAATTATAAAAATATTGGCAAAAGTTATATGCTTCAACCTGATCAAGTTAATCCACCCATTTCAAAGAAATCATCCCCATATTATTTAGCTTCACTTAATTGCATTGTGGATATAAAATGTTTACCAACTGGTTATCATACATCATGTATACCATCTCCTAATATTTGTGATCATTGTAAAAGAAGCATTTTCTAATAATATTGATGATGTAATAGTTTAGTTTGTGAACATGATTATCATTTAACATGTTATAACACATTGGAAAGAGTCTGCAGATACTGTGAAAATTATTATAAAAAAAGAATTGATGAAAATGTTAAAAAGTTTGTAAAAAATTTAAATAAAGACAAGAATACAATTACAGAAAATATAGAAATTGATAACCCGCAAGATGAGAATGATGATGATGATGACAATAACCCAAATATTGGCTCTGATAATTCTCATAATACTTTAGGTGAATTACAAATAGCAATAGACAATCTAATAAATTGGTGATATTATCACCAATAAATAGCATAAATTATAATTAGTGGTATCATGTATTCATTAAAAATTAATTTATAATAATATTTAAATAAAGAATTAACCTTAATCTTAATTGATAAAGTGAAGTAGTAGTAAATTTGGAGTTTGAAAACATTGACTTTGAAACATATTGCTTCTAAAAACTATAATAATTATCTGTGAGGATTTTATTAATCAAACATGAACAATATTACCCAAGGATTTGAAAGGAGTAATTAATGTGTAAAATCTTAAAAATGCTTCCCTATAATAACTATATATAATAAATAAATTTATTGATCTTGAAGTGTATTATTTCAAAAATAATAAAAACATAAATATTTTAATATTAATATCAATATTAACAAAACAAATACCTTGCTGATGTTTTTGATAATATGATAAAAACAAAATACTCATTATAATGGGTTAAAAGTCACCAAAATTAATGTATACCAATATTATATATTCTTTAACTATTACTTTCTTATAAACTTTGGTTCTTAGCTAACTCCTCCAGGAAAGTGATGGAAAGTGATGGAAGGAAGTTGATAATATAAAAAAAATACGAAGAATATAGCTATAAAGTTGGTTTGACAATTTTGATAAAAAGTTTTTACATCACATTAAGATCAAACATCCAATTGAAAAGTACTTTAAAATTACCATTACACAATATAAAAAATATCAATATTTTAAGTCACATTCATGATAATTATGAAATTCCACTATGCTATAAAAAAGGCAAACCAAAAGAATGTAATGAGGTCATGTTGCAATGCATAAAGTATGTGCAACTTGAGTCTTTCCTGTTCTGAATTAGAGATGCAATCTGTGGATGACCAATCCAGATATCTGTAAAACAATTTGGATGGACATATGTCTTTTTTAAAATGCTAACAAATTGCAGATTGAAATTTATATTAATATGTGAAAATAAATTCGAAATTCGTGTCCCATGAAGTTTTTTTAAAATATCTCGTTATTTTTATAATAAAATTGAACTTAATTGTTAGAGTAAAATGAAAGTATTCCATTAAAGCTTTCTAATCAATACTCTTTCATACCAAGAGATTTTCTCTGCATGAATTCACAGCTATTCAAAAACGGTATTGCTTTTTCACTTCAAACCTCAGATTATTTCTCAATATTGCTTTAAAAGACTTGATAGTAAATGAGAAGGTGTAGAATACTTTAAGCTTTCATATATGGTCATTGCTTTATGGGGGATATTGGTTAATAAGTTTTAGAGAGGTTCACGAAAAACTATTTTATAGAAATTTTTAATAGTCATTTTATGTAGATGGGAAAAAAATAATGTAATTGCTTGATAAAATGTCAAAATTAAATTATTTTTTGTGTTAATAAATCCTGTATGTATACCATTGCATTGTGCAATGTCTACTATGCATTATGCAACATTGATTTTCAATGCCGTTTATTTGCACAGGGTCTGTTGATTATCACTTTTTTTAAAAAACAGGAACATTCAATGCTATTTTATGCCTCTAATAATTTCCTGATGTAATAGCCTTAGTTCTTTGTTCTATTGTAAGTTGTTTTTTTGGCATAAGTAATAAAATAAGCTTAATTTAAGAAATTAATATCTAGAGATAAAAACTTGCTATATGAAATTTTTATATTATTTAGTAAACAATAAAGTTAAAAAGGCCAAAATAATAATATTCATCAGAATGCATAAAAATTACATAGCAAATTAATAATATCTTACTATATATAATTAATTTTACATTAATAATAAACAATCAACTACTGTGTTTGTTAAGAGAAATTTTTGCTTGTTTTTTAATTCGATTATCTTTTGTTTCAGTTGCCTGAGGTGCTTCTTCTTCTCTAGGCCGTTTGGTATGAACAGTAGTTGATGTTTCCAAAAGATCTTGACTCCTTTGTAATTTTGGTAGAGGTTTGGACACTTCTTTGGGTTTAGAAATTTTTGTATGAACTTCAGGGTTGCTTTGTGTCTCTGTTGGTTTAGTAGTAATTGTTGGTGCTTCCACAATAGGATTCAGAGTTTCAATAGGATTACATGTAGTCTCAGGTTTGATGTTGTGTTGTTGAAATAAATTCAATTGTTTTAAAGTGACCTCCTCAACCTTTTTCAATTCATTTTTTAGTTTTTCATTTTCAACAGTCTGCATTAATAACTCTGTCTTCAATCTATCAATCTGCATCATAAAGAAAGAAATTTGTAAAAAAAACTCAACCAATCAATATGAATATTTTTAATACTACTCACTTCTGCATCCTTAGCTTGGAGCACTTCTTTACTTAAATTATCAATTTGTTTTTTTTCTCTTTTGATATTTTCCAAATCTTCTTTAGTTTGTTTATATTTTTCCTGAAGTATATGGAGTTTTTCTTTCCATTGATTTAGTTCCTTGTCATAATCAGATTTGAGGGTTCTTTTATTTTCTTCAAGTATCCTAACTTGAAATTTCAACTGTTCTAAATCAATTGATTCTTTTTGCTTAATTGATCCAACTATTTCTGAATTGACTGATGATGACCTAGATCTAATGATGTTAGCTGTTTAAAAATCCTTAGCCGGCTAAGCCGTTTACTACCTAAATTGGTAATTTTATTTCTATAACAAGAAAGTAACGCAGAAATCTATTACCAAATTTAGAAATTATGCATGCAGATTATTAGCTGGCTAACATCACTAGTAATTAACATATAAAATTCTATAACTAAACTTTGTAGAAATAATACCAAGACATAGAATTTTATTTAATAGCTGTAGAGCAGCATTGTGTTGATTTTTTCTGACATTTAAGATGTTTCTTGATAATGACATTTGATCAAAAAATGAACAATTGCAATGAGGCAATAAAATAAAAATCAATTTTTATAATTAATATTAAATTTGGGTAGGCGATTTAGATACAAAATTTGATTGGCTAATATTGAATTTTACGCGCGTTAATTTCAAATTGAAACAGATTTCAAATTCAAGCACAACAGATTATAAAACTTTCAGAAATAATTATTTTAGCTGCCAGTTCTTTTTTTTTCTCGATGCAAATTGAACAACTATTAACAAGTCTGTTTACAGGTCTTTGGTTTACTCCACTCCATTTTTCAGTTAATTGTACATAGGTAGGTTTTTTGACATCCGTGAATTACATTGTCGTGAGTATTAAATTGCAATAATGATGATTATGATTTTAATTGTGGCAGTATTAATGATTTAAAAAGAGATATTATTTGTTATAATCACTTGAATTTAAATAAACTACTTTAATTATTTTTAATTCTAAGTATGCCAAAAGGGAGTCCATGATAATTACTTACCTTGGACAAACAGGTCACATCCTTGATCATCAATCATTTTATCCAACGTGCCCTTCATTTCATTCCCTAATTTACTTGGCATTTAGCAAGCAAGCTTGTGCGATGATATCTTGGTGATTTTACATCTGTCACTAGAAAATCTTGCATGGTGTGGATGACCTCGTCTTTTTATTGTCTCCCTGCCTTCCCTTTGATATTTGACTTTCTTTGGACGACGATGATTTTTTTTTTTTTTGTTATTGTTGTTATTTTTGATTTTGTCTTTTTGGAGATGATGGTGATGATGATGATGATGAAAAGAAAAATAACTATTTTTTACTAACCTTACAGATAACAAAATTAAAACAGGCTTCCACAATTTCATTTCACCACTACACCTATTATTATTATTATCATCATTATTCTCAATAATATCCATTTGTTCATCAGATGTTGCAACTAACAATAATTCATCACGATATATAGTATTGTTAGATGGCACATAGATTGACAAAGGGCAATCTTTATGAGTTAGTGATAAACGTCTGCATATATAAATAATAAACTTGTTAGAAAATTTTCATATTTCTAATATACAATCATTATATAAAACAAAGACACGTACTTTAATGAGTGTGCTATTGTTGAGGGTCCAAACCAATCACCTATTTTTTTATCTAATGAAATTCCAATCCTAGCAATATTATGAATTGAATAATAATGTTCCGGATCTGGGTTATCTACAAACCAACTTAATATCTATAATAAATAAATTTTATTTTAAATTTAAAGATTCACAGGTCAATTAAAAAAAATTATCATCATCATTATTATTGTTGCATACTTTTCTATATGTGAATTTTTCAATATCGTTTTGAACATTATGTAATCGCCAATCTATGGTTTTATTTTGTTATTTTATAGCAAAAAAAATTTATTTCTAGATTTTTTTTAAATAAAGAAAAATAATAATAGTAATCACCTCTTCCTAAAAGAACAATCAAAAATCCCTGTGCCAATAAACTTTGACCAGTTCTGTGCATACATCCCCAACCAGTATCAGTGGTATGAAAGGAAGGTTCAATTGGTGGATATTCTTTACGATAACAACAAAATATTCTTGATTGAAAATCCAAAAGAAAATCCATCAACTTTTTTTGATTTATTGTTAAAGGTCCTAATGAATCTGGTCTATATAAACTTGTAGGTGTTGGAGGTAACGATTTTAAAGATCGAAGTGAACCACTTTCTGATGATGTTGATTTTCTATTAACCCAACTATCTGAATTCTCAGGATTATTGTTATTATTGTTATTGTAATTTAAACTTGTCGTTAAACTTGATAACGATGATGATTTGTTAGAAATAGAATTTTTATTTTTATTATTGGACAATTTATCTTGTTTTTCATTTGATTCATTTGTTATTGTTTTTGCAGATATATTGTCTACAGATGAATTATTTGGTCTAGCTGTTAACTCGGAATTATTGTCGTCATCGTTATTGTAATTTAAATTTGTCGCTAAATTTGATAATGATGGTGATTCGTTAAAAGTAGAAGAATAATTATTATTATGATTGGACAATTTATCTATTTTTTCCTTTGATTCAATTGTTATTGTTTCTATAGATATATTGTCAACAGATGAATTATTTGGTCTAGTTGTTAAATGTTTTTCTAATGCTTTACCACTATTATCAATACTATCATCGTCATCATCAGAACTATAATATAAATCGTCAGGATAATTACTATTGTTATCGTTATCGTTATTAACGTTATTATTATTGCTATAATTGTTAATGTCTTTGGTTCGATCTTTAAACCCAATAAAATCTATGAAATTGTTTTTTTTTGTAATAGTATTATTATTATTATTATTAGCAGAAGGTTCATCGTCTTCAGAAAATTTAAGATCGTAATCACTTTCAGCTTCTAAATGAGGTGATAATCTTGACGAAGCTTTATTATATTTGGTTTTTTCTTTATTAGAAAAGAAACTTGTAAATGTCATTCTACGAGTTTTCTTTGATTTTGGAGAAAAATTTCCACCTTGACTATTACTATAATTATTATTATTACTGGCACTATTAAGGTTATTATTATTTTGACTTAAAGTTTCAATATTGCCGTTGTAATAGTTATTATTATTAGATAGAGAACGAAAGAAAAAATTTGGCTGTGCTTTCCTTGAAGAAGAGGAAACAGGCGAAGAATTAGAAGAAAAATGAAAGGTTGTTTCATAATTTGATGAATTAGATATTGCAGAATCTGAATGGATTGTTGTTGTTGAATCATTTTTTCTATTGGGAAATAAACGAGTCCTATTTGCCTCGTAATTCGGTCGTATATGTAAAGAATCATAATTATTTCCATTCGCCATTTTCACACGATTTTCTGTCTTTTGCGGTGAAAAATTGGGAGATTTTTGTTCTGGTGGCGGTGACGGTGATTTATTATTGTTGTTGTTATTATTACGAGAAAAAGATAACGACCTTAATTTCTTAATTACTCCTGTATGACTAGCTGTTGCTTGATGTAAATTTTGTTTTACTTTTGAAGAATGTATAATTCCCTGTTGATGATATTGTTGTTTTGATGATGATGGTGATGGTGACGGCAGCAATTGTAAGTTTGAAAATGATGAATCTGGTGGTAGTGGTGATGGTAACAATGGTGATGATGAAGTAGATGATGACAATAAATCAGGCTCGAATCTATTTAATGTAAAAGAGGATCTTGATTTTCCCGATTTGTGAGTTCGTATATAGTCCTCGCTATAATGTCTTTCATGATATCCAGGTGAATCAATATCATCATCGTCGTCGTCTTCTGATAATCCAAACATAATGAAATTAAGTAGTGAGGAAGCCCGAGTACCTCTTGCATGTTCACCTCTGTCAGGTTTTGGAAGATTAACGAACTCGCCATCCTCTACTAGTCATACGGCCATATTTATATATATATAAAATATATTTTACAGAATTGTCTTGTCCAATGTTTATATATATATATATAAAGTAGTGAAAATTATTAAAGCAAAAAAAATTCATACAATGTAATTTTTACCTGTGAATGAATACTCTATTCCAAGCATCCATATAGAATTCGTTGTATAGCTATGTTTCACTCTTGATCTTTCATCAGATTTCATATATTGAACGAGTCGCGTATTATAAAGCCAATGTCTTTAAATTTCATTTTGAAATAAACAAATAATTGGTTAGTAAATTATAGTGAAAAGTTTTTGTTTTCCTTTTAAATAATTAAAATTTTAATAGAAAAAAACTAACCCCATTTTTTGTAAAATGTCGGTTGAATTATTGTTATTATTTTTTGTAAAGTCAAAATCAGTAGAAATATCTTCACCGTTTATTTCCTCTGGTGGTGAACTAGGCGTGAAAGTTGTATTATTATTGTTGTTGATAGAAGATTCTTCGCCGGGAAAAGATTCTACTGAAAAATCATCAACATTATCCCATTCTTCATTACCTGACACCATTATTATTGGCGAGGATGGTGGTGTAATAATTCTTATGACTGGTGGTGTTGTATTGTTATTTGAAGCAGTCAATGACATTATATATATATTATGTATGTTTTAATTGAATTGATGGTAGTAAAGAGATAATACAAAAAATAATTATATAAATAAAGAAAATAAACAAGTAAAAATATTTTTTATGAGATTTTAATTATAAATGGTAAAAAATCATCAGGAAGGAGTTTTTTTAGGTGGCTTTTAGAGTAATTTCATCATAAACAATATAAATAAGTTTATGATTGACAATATCACTTGCACAAATTAATGATAAATAAATAATAAATAAATGTACAAATTTTTGAATGTAGCATAGTTTCTTGATGAAGGAAGATGTTTTTTCTCTTAAAAGCTCATTAATATTAATTGTTAATCATTATTATAAGGTATCAATCAATTGATACATTTGCTTATTTCTAAAATCAAAAATTATAAACAGAAAAATACAATATTCACGTAGTTAAATAGTAATTGATAATTTCCTTTGGACCAACATTGTGAAGTTTTCTTGTCAATTTACATCTTATCAATAAATAACAAGGTGTTGTTAAATTTTCATAAAACGAAAAAAAAGGAAATTTTAGGTATTACGAAAATTATTGCGTTGCGTGTATGCTATTATTTTTCTCTAATCCCTTATTATTTAAGGGTTTTGAAACTTAAAAGATTATCACAAATTTCTAATAATGTAATATTAAAAATATTAACTAACTTTAATTTTAAAACTTATTGAGATTGATGTTTATGTTAAATGTATAGAAGTTTCGTAATTAAAAAAGGAAAAGAAGAAAAATTTAAGGCTTCAGCCAAACCGGTTGAACAGCGGTTTAAAACCGAACCGATGCACATCGACTCAACTGTCCAGTGGGAATATTTTGTTACACTAGAATGTTTTTGTTAATTGCACAAAAAATTTACAACCCATTAAATTTATACCATGTGTAGTATACATGTTGACTCGATCCAATTTTAATCGCGCCTGACACATGCTTTCATATGACTCAATTAATTACATAAACAAGTCACCTGATTGAATCAAGTGATCAATTTATTTCTACCACATGTATAATGTGTAGCTTAGGCTTTGGTAAACAAATATTCATGTAAAATCTAATGAGCTTTTCTATAGCTTGAGTAAAAATAAAAAAAACTTCAGTTAAAATTTGATTGTGAAAATTTACATAAATATCCTTGAGAACCCAAGCTACAAACTGATATAAATTGGGGCATACCGCAACAAAACCAGACAAAGTGAACATTATATCACACACATTACAGGGATGCAATTGATAATAATTTCTAAAAGGCCAAATATAGATTCTTTATTATGAATGTTGATTTGTATAATCTAGAGGTTGGAATCGACTAAACTTTTTTTTGAACAACTAATAGTCGACTATCTTAGTCGACTATTTTAATCGATTATTTAGTCGAATACTAATAATACTATACTAATACTAATGCTAATACTAATATTAATACTAATATTATTATTGTCTGACCAATTACGATTTTTGTGTTTTATCATCCAAAATGGAAAATTTTTATGCGGAAGAGTATCGATATCATCAATATTATGATGACGACAATAGTAGTGGTGTTGTTGATGATAATTTTACATGCGAATGAATAAACACTTCCAATACAAGGTCCAATGGTTCATTGGCTTCAAGATCCAACGATTTAAGCGGTGGTTCCAGAAGACATTTAAAAAAATGAATCGTAACACATAGTTTTGTGTGGAAGCATTTTGAAAAAGTGAAAGATTCAAATGGAAATGAATTCGTAATTTGCAAATTAAAAAAAACAAATTTAGTCGACTAAAGAAATTTTTGACCAACTAATAGTCGACTAAGGGTTTTTTGGACGATTCCAACCTCTAGTATAATCAAAAAACCATCACAATGATTAATTATTAGCAATTACATATTTTTATTATTATTTTAAGATTGAATATTGTAACGATAATAGTTTTATTTATTATATCTTTACTAAAAACACAAGTTCATCTAATTTTATCTACTAAACTTACTTTAGCCCTATAGAAAATAAACATACGGAATGTATAAGAATTTTCCTATATTAATATTAATATTAATATTTGATACGGAATAAATTTTTAGATACTAATACGGAATAGACGTATTTAATCTACGTTTTGAAATTTATCAATGTAATGCAATTTATTATTATGGATGTATACTACGGAAAACGCAGGAAAATGTACGGAATTAAGAAAATTATAATAATACTAATACTGAAAAGGTACGTTTGATTCCGTATATAAGGTAACATACTGAAAAGATTCCGCATATAAGCACGGAAATTATAACATACTAATACTGAAAAGATATGTTTTTGATTCCGCATATAAGGTACGGAATAGGTACGGAATTTGCAACATACTAATTATAATACTAATACTGAAAAGGCACTTTTTGATTCCGTATATAGTCGAACCCTCGTTTCAACGGATTTTTGTTTCAATGGATTTTTGGTTTTACTATTACCCCTTGATTTTATTAATTGTAATTAAAAAATTATCGTTTCAACGGATTTTATATTTAAATCGCGTTTCAACGGAAAACGGATTTTTTGGTTAATAACTGTTAGTATTATTTTATCCGTGTTACATCTATTTTCGTAATACGTTTATTTTTTTTTTATTTTTATTTTCTATTAATTATTTGTATAACGCCGTAATTTATTTAACTTATTTAAGAAAGAATCGTCTTGGGATATCCTCACAATTTTGGGATATCGTCGCAATTTTGAAATATCGTCACAATTTTGGGATAACTTCTCAATATTGGGAGAATGTCTCAATTTTGGGAAATTAGAATTATTAATTAATTGAATTGTATATAAGGAGCTTGAATTCAATGTACTTGTAAAGTAACTTTCTAACAAATTAATTAGCTTCGACTAAGAAAACTAAATAAAATAGTGATATTTTATTTAAATAAACTATTATCTTCTTTACCCAAAATTATTCGCTAATAAAAAAATCAAATTCGTTGATCCCTTATTCATTCTGATCCACACAAAACAAAAATAATTGTTATCACCAATTAAAAAAAATACGCTCTCCCAAAGTTTAATCGGTGACACCATTAAAAGTAAATAATCTGTTAATATTAAAAAGACAATAATTTGTACGAAAACAAATTTCATGTATTAAGCATAGAAGAAAATTGGTTGATGGTCAAATTAAATTTTATTGGATGATCATTTTGTTTAAGGGTAGAGTGTAGGTAACACGAATTTCACTATGACACTGTTGATAAAAAAATAGGTGATTGGTTTGGACCCTCAACAATAGCACACTCATTAAAGTACGTGTCTTTGTTTTATATAAT